CAGGTGGCAGGATGGCTCAGGCGATGAGAGCACATGCTCCTAACAACAAGACTGCGTATTCGATGGTGGACTACGCCCGCCTGCAACTAAGACTGAACTCAGCACCTTGAGCTGAGCTGCCACCTGGGTGGCTCAGTGGATAGAGTGTGCATTCTTAACAACAAGGCTGCTGGTTTGACTCCCGCATGGGATGGTGGCTACGCCCACCCACAACTAAGACTGAACACAGCACCTTGAGCTTAGAGGCCACGAGCTGCCGACGGGAAGTCACATGGCAACTGGCGCCCTCCACAACGAAGATTGAAGAACAACAACTTGGCTGGTCCCCTACCCCAATTCCCCAACACTGTTCCCCTCTCCCATTCCCCAATAAAATCTTAAAAAAAAAAAAAAAGATTTCTGGACCCTTAAGCTGGGGGGCTTGTATAATTGGAGTGGACATAAAAGATGTCATTCTGACTACTGCCAGGCTTTGTAAACCCAAAGTCACAGGCATTGTGACTGTTTCAGAGAGGCGAGGAGTTCTGACCACTTTACTCACCTTTCCTAGAGGCAGAAATCATAGGCCTGTGGCAATACTGAATCGTAACTCTGCCCTCTTTCAGAACACTGAGGGAAAAGGTCACTCCTATTCATTAACAGTGGTGTAGAAGGCAAGCCAGCGTAACTTCTTAAGAGAGGGGACCATGTAGCAGGAAATTTGGAAACTTGGAGTTTTGTTTCCTGAAGCATAATTTACATTCCATAAAACACGTCAATCTTCAGGGTGCAATTTGATTAATTTTTATCCAAGTATAATAAATACCTGTGAAACCAGTACCTAGATCAAGATCAGGATTATTTTCCATCTCCCCAGAAAGTTCCCTTGCAATTCTTCCTTATCAATCTCCACCCCAATCATTATTCTGGTTTCTTCATCATAGTACATGATTGCTTCCTTTGCTGTCACGAACAGGTTATCATTTAGGAAAGGGACACGTGGTCCTGAGCTATCATCCTTGAGAAATAACAGACACAGTCTATTGCTTCTATCTGCTTCCTATGAGAAAGAAAAAGTTGTCACATGGTGATGTTGCAGAGTCCTTAGCTCCTATAAACAACCTATTCATTCATGCATTCATTCATTCTTAAAGAACAACAGAGCAAAAAAGAAAAATAAAGAAAAATAATTTCTAATAAAAAAATTAAAAATAAGGGAGCAGACTAAAAGTTGATGGGAGGCCAAGGCCTTGGGAGTTGGGGGGGAGCGGGGAGACTAAGAGAGAGAGTGAGAAAGCCCCTTTGGGGAAATGGTCAAGAGACTCAGGGAACAGGAGTGTCTAACAATAAATCTTAAGTTTTTTGCTCTGTCATTCTTTAAGATAACGCTCCTCTATCCCCCTAAACTTTAGTAAATGTCTGCTATTTCCAAATGCCTGCTTCTCTGGGGGACTCAAGGGAGAGACAGCAAGGCAGAGCGATGGGAGGAGCCACATCTTGAGACCCAAGTGAGACTTAAGCAGAAGATGAGATGCCATCTCAGAGAGATATGTGATGTGCTGGCGCAGTACTGAGGGTCCCACTGCAGAGAGGATGAGGGATTAAGCAACTGGCATTAGAATACTAAGGGATGGATTAGCCCCACCAGGGTGGGGGCCCTGGAACGTCCACAAAGCAGAAACCATGTTTTCCCCAAAATGAGACCTAACTGGAAAATAAGCCCTAGCGTGATTTTCAGAGTGCTTGTAATATAAGCCCTACCCCCAAATGAGCCCCAGTTAAGATCATCAGCCAGACATGACTGTAGTTGAATAAATGTAGATTTATATACGTGAATAAATGAATAAAATGCATCTTTTGAAGTAAAAATTAATATAAGACCCAGTCTTATTTTCGGGGAAACATGGAATCTGAGCCTCATGAACTTCATAGCCTGCGGGCAGGCTCTCTCCTAGGTTAAGCTGGTTAAACTGGGTTAAACTGGGTTGAACTGGATACTGTGGGGCTTTTCCCTGCGGTTCCTACCTCATTGAAAATAAGAAATACATCCTCAGGAAGTGGGTTTTTGGGTTTTTTTTCTGGTGCTTTCTGGGGTCCGTACCTTTAAAAAGATTGAGGGTGGGGTGGAGATAGCTATGAATGACAGGCAAAGGAGAGCCAACTAGTGCATCATTGGAATCTCTGAAGAAACAAAAACAACGAACTATAATAGCTATTTAAAGATATAATTCAGGAAAATGTTTCTGAAATAAAAAAGGATTTCAATCTACATTTGAAAAAAAAGCACAACATGTTTACACTACAAGGTATATTCTAGTAATGTTACTGGAAAATAAAGAATCTTTGGAGTACCCAGGCAAAAAGATCAAGTATAAAGGTTCCAAAAAGTTTTTCCTGAACATCCAAGAACTCAGGGACATTGTTCTTATGAGGTCATGTACAAATAGAGAATCAAAGAGGAAAAAATCTAAAACTTAAGATTTTCTAGAAAACACAATCTATGTCATAAACTATGAGATACAGCCAAAGCAGTGGTCACAGGAAAATTCATAACTTAAACACTAATACCAACTTTTTAAAAAACATTGAAAACAAAAGAATTAAGCACCCTTAAAGAGAGTTACAGATAAACCAAATGAAAACAGAAGGACTTAATGAAAATACAAGCAGAAATTAATGAGTAAATGCTGTTTTTTTCCCCCCTGAAGTTGAATAATAGGTACTTGGATGCTCATTATATAATTTTAAGCACCTTTTTGTAAATGTGAAATATTTCACAGAATTGTTAGGTTTGTTATATCCACCCAATGGATAAGAATAAAAAAGCATAAGAACACTATGTATAGCTATGAAAAGATATCCAGTACACACTGTTAAGTGAAACAAGCAAGCACAGAATCCTATAAATAGTAGGCAGTGGGCCGGCTGAGTGTTGCGTTGGTTAAGAGCTGGCTTGGGACGCCAGAGGGCCCCGGTTCGGATCCCACATATGAGGGCCAGTGACACTGCCCTCTACAGCTAAGATGCTGAACAACAGCTCAACCTGGAGCTGGGCTGCCGTGAGTCGCTGGCGATGGCGTAGGCTGCAGCCCCTGCTGCAGTGGGTTGCCATGGGCTACCGTGTGTAGCCAGCAGCCAGTGTGAGCGGCCAGCAGCCGCCGTGAGCGGCCCTACAGAAGCCGCGATCGATCTGCCTCGCCCGAGAAGAGCGCAATGATGGTGCCAACTTGGGCCAGTGAAGCGATGTCCTCCACAACTAGACTGAAGAACAAAAGGACAGCAACTTGTCTCTTCCCCTTCCCCGATTCCCCAACGCTGTTTCCATCCCCCAATTCCCCAATAAAATCTTTTTTAAAAAAAATAGTAGGCAACCTATTGGATACAAAAACAGTACAGGCAGGAAGTAGAATAAAAACATATGTTCATATTTGCTTATATTTATATAAAGAGAGATAAAAAGACATGTAGGAAACCTTCTCCATTGGGGCAGTAGGGAGAACAGAGTGGATAGAGACAGAGGTGGAAGCAAGTTTTTCAGTGAAAACTTATCATTTTGATTTTCTAAACCATGTTACCTGTTTGGAAAATAACATTTAATTGAAAAAATAAACATGTTGGGGTGACTGGTTAACTCAGTTGGTTACAGCGTGGTGCTGCTAACACCAAGGTTGCCGGTTCGATCCCCGCATGGGCCACTGTGAGCTGTGCCCTCCTTAAAAGAGTCAACTATGCCATTGTAGCATGAAAGTAATACGTAACCAATGACCATGGCTGTTCCCCAATAAAAATTTTAAAATAAATAAAATAAAATAAACATGTTAAAAACTCAAGGCTGACCCAGGTAGGTTCACTAGTAATTCTGCCAAACATTTAAGGAAGAAAATATACCAAGTTTCTAAAATCTCTTCCAGAATATAGAAGTAGAGGGAATACTTCCCAACTCATTCTATGAGGCCAGCATTGCCCCAATACCAAAACCAGACAAAGACATTACAAAAAAAGAAAACAACAGATCAATATTGCTCATGGATATATATGTAAAAGTCCTCAACAAAATATTAGCAAATGAATCCAACAATGTATAAAAAGAATTATACAGTGGGATTTATCCCAGGTATGCAAGGTTGGTTCAACATTTTTAAATTAATTAATGTAATCCATCACATCAACAGACTAAAAAAGAAAAATCTCATGATCATTTCAATAGATACAGAAAGAGTACTTGATAAAATCCAACATCCATTCATAATAAAAACTCTCAGGGGGCCGGCCGAGTGGCGCGATGGTTAAGAACTCGCTTGGGATGCCAGAGGGCCCCGGTTCGGATCCCACATATGAGGGCCAGTAACACTGCCCTCCACAGCTAAGATGCTGAACAACAGCTCAACCTGGAGCTGGGCTGCCTGAGTCGCCGGTGACGGCGTGGGCTGCAGTCCCTGTGGCAGTGGATTGCCATGGGCTACCATGTGTGGCCAGCAGCCGCAGTGAGCGGCCGTCCAGAAGCCGGCGACTGATCTGCCTCGCCAGAGAAGAGCGCAATGATGGTGCCAACTTGGGCCAGTGAAGCAACATCCTCCACAACTAGATTGAAGAACAAAAGGACAGCAACTTGTCTGTTCCCCTTTCCCCAATTCCCCAGCACTGTTCCCATCCCCCCAATTCCCCAATAAAAATCTTTTAAAAAAAAAAAAAACCTCTCAGAAAACTAGGAATAATGGGGAACTTCCTCAACTTCATAAAGAGTATCTACAAAAACCTACAGCTAACATCATACTTAATGGCGAGGAACTAGAAGCTTTCCCACTAACATCAGGAACAAGGCAAGGATGTCCCACTCACCATTCCTTTTTAACATTGTACTAGAAGTCCTAGTTAATGCAATAAGACAAGAAAAGGTATATAGATTGGAAAGAAATAAAACTGTATCTGTTTACAGATGACATGATTGTCTATGTAGAAAATCTGAATCAACATAAAAACTTTTGAAACTAATAAACAGTCATAGCAAGGTTGCAGGATATAAGGTTAATATTCAGAATTCATTCACTTCCCTCTACACCAACAATGAACAAGTGGAATTTGAAATAAAAAACATTACCATTTACATTAATACCTGTTTTGTGAAAGGGCCATGTATGCAAAGTGGCTGAAGGAGCCAAGAGGCCAAAGAATGAGGCAGACAAGTCCAGCTTGCAGTTTTAAAGAATTTAATAGGGAACTTTCACACAGAAAGCAGTCTCAGGAGGCAGCAAGATGAATGGTTCCCCATGCCTTCCACCCCCCAGACTCTGTTTTTTATAGCAAAAAGCAGTGAGAATGTATGGATAATCAAAGGGACCAGGAGCCGAGAGGCTCTAGTGCCAGAACAAGTTAAGAGAAATATAGAGGGTGCCCCGCTTCAGAGAGCAAATAAATGGGAGTCCTGTGATCAGCCCAGAGCTCTGTGTTCATATGCCAGAGCTCATAGGGGAAGTGGGAGGGCTCAAGGGTCCAGGTTCACCCAGATGTCAAGATGGCGGATTAGCTTTAAGACAGAGTCACTTATGTTCTGCACCACACACACACAAAATGAAATACTTAGGTATAAATCTAACAAAATATGTACAAGATCTATATGAGAAAAACTACAAAACTCTGATGAAAGAGAGCAAAGAACTAAATAAATGGAGAGATATTCCCTGTTCATGGACAGGAAGACTCAGTACTGTCAAGATGTCAGTTCTTCCCAACCAGATCTATAGATTAAACACAACAATCCCACTCAAAATCCAGCAAGTTAATTAGTGTATATTGACAAGCTGATTCTAAAGTTTATGTAGAGAGGCGAAAGATCAACTCAATATTGAAGGAGAAGAAAAAAGGTGACACTACCCAACTTCAAGGTTTATTATAAAGCTACAGTAATCAGACAGTGTGGTATTGGTGAAAGAATGAAGAAATACGTCAATGGACTGGAAGACGGCCCAGATATAGACCCACATAAATATAGTCAATTGATCTTTAATGAAGGAGCAAAGGCAATACAAATAGTGCTAGAACAACTGGACATCAATACAAAAAAAAAACCAAAACAAAAATCAATGTAGACACAAAACTTACAACCTTCACAAAAATTACCTCAAAATGGATTGTAAACCTAAATGTAATAAACAAAACTATAAAACTCCTAGGAGATAATATAGGCGAAAATCCTTTGGATGTTTAGAGCACTTTGGATCAATTCAGTGATGGTCAATCTATGCTGCTTGCATAGCAGGCATCTGTGCCCAGCTCTCTCTCTCTCTCCTGGACCCTTGGGGGCATCTTGTACCCTACATAGCACTTAGCAGTGTCAGGCCCCAGGCAGGCTCGATGAATGTGAGGTAAGCTTAAAAAGTCGCGGTGGAACCCTGGCTCAGAGGTGCTGGGCCAAAACTGGTAATGTACGGAAAGGGTACTGGGCAAGCTTCGGGGTTAAGGAAATCTGGGTACTAACTGGGCATCTAGAACAATAAAAACCAGGGGCTCAGTGACTCCAGGGCAGGGTCTCAGTCACTGCCATTCCCTGCACGTTTCCTCTACTCGTGGGAAGTAAGGCCATCAGCCCACTTAATCCCAATTTCCCACAGCTTTCAAGGGAGCTGGTCTCAGTCTCTTCCTCAAGTTCAGTATGAAGAATAGGCAGAAAGGTTTCCGACTAGCCAAGCTTGGGCCTTTCAGCAGAGGCCAGAGGGGTCTGCTTTTGTGAAAACATGGTCACTCCACCAGGACCACCAGCCCAGAATGAGGAGAGGGGCGGCCTAGAAGAGCAAGCTGTACAAGGTAGAAGTGTCCCACTGGGAACCTGCGGGACATTTCCGGTAGCATGGCTTGCCACACACAGCCTGAGGTCCCTTTAGGTCTTCAAGGTCAACGTGATTTGTGGAGAAGGTGGCCTCGTCCCAATGGTGATAGTAGTGATGGAAGGCACAGCATGGTTGGTGACCTTGGCTGCAGACTCGGAAGGGCAAAACCCCAATTACAGGCGCTGCCTCCTAAGTGGGTACAGGTGGGTCCTTCCTGGATGCCAAAGGGCAACTGATGCTTGGCACGTATAAAATGGGGCTGACACCAGCACCCTGACTGCCTAGGAAGAGGCTTGTTCTGCCCATGCAAGAAAGTCACACCTCACAAATAACAGAGCAGATTATAAAAATAGATGTAAGGTGAGGTTTTTTTCCAATGAAATTATTCTGAACCACCACTAGGAACAACTGATTAAAGACTCCCTAACAGCATTTTGGTGCCCCGCTCATATCCCTTTGGGCCTGACCATTGCTCAGGCAGTCCCAGGGCCTGAGAGCTTTTTCTGGGGGAAGAGCCGGGGAACTTGCCCTGGGACCAACTCACGACCACTGACTGAAGGGAGCAGCCAACACCCATGTGCTCTCACTCAAGTGATGTTCAGAGAGGACTGTTGAGCACTGGTCCCCAGAGGCACTAAGCTCCCTACCCCAACCCCACCTGATAATGCATCTGTATGGGCTACCTCCCCCTCCAGTGCTTCCTGGGATCACCTCCCACATAAAGCGCTTGCACCTAATCCTTATCTCAGGCTCTGCTTCTCAGGAATCCACACCAAATCACCACATTGTGGTAGAGGAAGCAAGTGCTACCATCCAAAGGAGGCACCTAAGGAGACAGAGGGGGCAACCTTGACCACAAAGGCTCAAACACCCAGCTCAGGGCCATACAGAGGCACTTACTAACAGGCGCATATGCAGTTATCAAATTCACAGAAATGGAGGGTGAAATCACAGTTGGTGCTTTGAATTCAGAATGAACAAGATAACATCATCCAGGCCAGACTTCTTGCACCCATCTGATGGCACTTTGTCTCCCTGTGGACATGGGAAGCCCATCATTATCTCAAGGCTGCCTGATGGGCATGGGCTGGGCCCAAAAGGACCTACAGAATCCTCCCCTGGTGAACGACTGACACATCTGTGAACTGTGGTGGGGCTGGACACCAAGCAGGTCATCACCGACAAAATCTTTATTGATGATGTTGCTTAAGTGGGTGCAAAGGCAGGGGCCAGATGCCCCACCCTGGGAGTCTCAGAATCCTTTCGCACTGTGATGACTGTGGGTTTGGAAGAAGGTGGGCTGAGTTCCAGGTAGCCGTTCCTCACTGCCCCAGCACTGGGGCTAGCTGGTGGGGATGGGAGAAGTAGGGTTAAATACAAGCAGGGCTGGCCCACAGCAGCAGTCTAAATAAGTCATGCGGCAGCTCCAGGCACAGAATATTCTGTGATTCCTCCCCTCCACCTTTTCTGCCACCTTGTCCCATCCACTTGTCCTGGGTGTGGCAGCACACCAGAGTTGGGAGCAGGCTGAGCAGGAGGCAAATGCCAAGTTTCACCTGGCAGTGTGTGTTCGAACAGCCCCATTCTCTCCTTGCCCTCTCAAAAAGTCCCATCCCAGTGAGGGGTCAGCGGGGCAAGGCAGCACTGAATTCTTTCTCCAGACTTTGGACAAACTGGTCGTTCAGGAAGAGCAGCTGACCGTGAGGCAGGAAGCGGACAAGGATGCCTTCGATGCGGTCAGCCCGCAGCAGGACGTTGGCGCCAGGGGCCAGCAGCCGGAGGTGGTCGAGGAGGAGGCGAGCCAGCAGCCGAAGCGTGCCCTCGGCCAGTAGAAGGTTCTCATGGGCATCCAGCACTAGAGCAAAGCCTAATGAGAGCACACCCAGCCACACCACTGTCCGAGACTCCTGGAACGGGTCCCCTGCCTCCAGGCGGAAGGCCCCATGTGGGGCCTCATGCAGGGGCACTGGCTCATCTGAGGACTGGGGCTGCAGGTCTGTAGGGGGCCGGCCGGATGCCTGCTGCTGCAGCTGGCACATGGACTCCACCTGCCTGTGGAAAGTGGGTGAGTCACCAACTTCTGTCATCCTCATGACCACCCCTAAAGCTGGGAGCTGCCATTATCCCCATATCTCAGAAGTAGAAACTGAGCTCCAGAGAGAGTAAGTGATCTGCCCAGGGCCACAGAGAAGGAAGTGTGAGCTGGAACAGGAATCCAGGCTCCAGACTCCAGGCCCTGAACCACTTCACTCAGTGTGGCCAAGAGAAGGCAGGTTTCGAACATAGCTCCTTGGGTTGGAAAAGGGTACCAGGGGAAGAAGGCCTCCTCAACATAAAGAAAAGCAACTAATGAGAAGTGTAACAGCCACATCCAACCCAGGCCGTCCAACCTCTCCACCCTCATCCCATTCTGCAACCCTCTCCAAATAAAAAAGAAAAGACCTTCCACTTGGCCATCCAGGCTTTTGAAAGCATTCTCTGATCTCTTCTGAGCTTCTCTCTAATTTGTGCTGTGCACAGGCTGGTCTTAAAGGTATCTGTTTGATTTTCTGTGCCACAAGACGGGGAGGAGGCCCAGAGGAACAAGGGGATGGCAGGAGGCGGGCACAGGACTGCCCTGGAGTATTAATCCACCACCCAGTCCACAGAGGGACCAGGAGATTCTGGCACCTGCCGGCTCCATCTGGAATGGGAAGGTCCAAGGCGGGCTACCCAATCTGGAACAGTTTCCTAATTTGTGCTCTGTGGATCCCAGGCTTTCAGGAGGCTCTGGGCAGAGTTCCCATGTACCACATTTTCTCTCCTTCTTAGAGATTACAAAGTCTATGGGAATACCAATGGCCCTGAGAAGTCCTGTACTACAAAGTACAGTAAGTCTCCGACTTGCGAACGAGTTCCGTTCCGGGAGAACGTAAGTCAGATTCGTTCATAAGTCTGACAAAGTGAGTCTGCACTTCCTAGCAGTCCCCTCCACATCACCACCGCTTTTCCTCTTGCTTCCGGACATCCTGGGCTCTGATTGAGCACTGTACTACTGTACACTATCGCACTGTACAGTAAGCACACAGCAGCACAACTGTGACAATGTCTGGCAGACACGTGAGCTACTTCCGCGATTTGTTCGCATCTATGAATGTTAGTAATGCGAGGAGGTCTGTTTGTGTCTGTGAGTTTGCAACTCGAATGCTCGTAAGTCAGGGATGTACTGTATATCTAATCTGTACTAGGGTTTGCATGCCTACAATCAAATCCAAGTTACACTGCTTTCTAGCTGCATAACCATGTGCAGATTAAGTTCCTGCAACTCTGTAACTCTGTTTACTTATCTGTAAGGTGGAAACAATAACTGTACCTACCTCAAAACACTGTTACAATGACTGAGTTAATATACATGAAATGCTCAGAATATAAATGCTTAGCACACAATTCAGGCTCAATAAAACTAGCTATAATAGTAATAGTAACAGCATTATTATTTTCTGTAAGCCTTTTCCATGTAACACTTGTGAACAACTGTGGAAGACTCTTTGGAAAACACTACTCTAAAACTTTCTCTCCGTTTCTTAGTCCTCCCGTTTCTCCACTCCAAAAACATATAACAATCCAGTGTGTGTTCAATGAATGTGTGGGGCTGGGCTGGGCTGGGCTAGGTTGAGCTGTGTGGTTACCTGGCCACGGCCAAAATCTGCTCCTTGCGGAGGAGCCTGTCCCTCTCAGCACCATGTGGCCGTGGGTCATCGGGTGAATTCTCGGCACCAAAAACGCAGGAGTAGAGCACTCGGCAAAGTCCCGTGTTCTCGGCCTGTGGGACCCTCAAGGTGTGGATGAGGAAGGCGTGGACCATGGCTCCAGGGTGGGTGCTACAGGGAAGCCAGAGACCTCGGTGAGATGAGCATGAAACCCCAGCAGAGGAGGCAACCACAGAAAGGGTCTGGTCTAGCAGGATCAGGCAGTATGTTTGGAGGCTGGCGTGGCTGGTCATTCACTGATCCTCCTCTGCCACCCAAAACACCCCCAGCCTTTAAATGAGTCTGGTCAGCACCACCGATGCCTAAAACAGTCTGGTGGTGAAGAAACCTGATAACCCCAAACTCAGTTCTAAAAAACAACTGGCCAAGAATCTTCAAAAGTGTCAAAGTTATGAGAGTCAAAGGAAGCTGGGGAGCTGCTCCAGACTGAAGGAGACTAAAGACACAACCTGTGTTCCTGGATGGGATTCTAGGCCAAGAAAAAGGTAGTTTCAATAAAGAGCATTATTTGGACAACAGGGAGCATTTAAACATGGACAAGTTAGATAATAGATTTGATCAATGTTTCCTGATTTTAAACGTAGAGGAATGTCTTTGGTTTTAGAGAATACACACTGATATACCTCTAAATGTAAAGGGGCTTCATATCTGTAACTATTGGGTTGTCGGAAAAGTCATGACTTATTTTTTCTATGCTTTTCGTTGCAAAAATGTGTCATGACTTTTCCGACAACCCAATAAATTATCAAAGGTTACACGGGAGTTCTTTACAAAAAATTCTTGAGGCCGGCCAAGTGGCTCATTGGTTAAGAGTTGTCTTGGGAGCACGAGCTCTGAGCAGCAGGGCGGCCGGTTCGAATCCCACATGGGCCAGTGACACTGCGCCCTCTATAGCTAAGATGGTGACAACAGCAGCAGCTCCACCTGGTGCTAGGCTGCTGTGAGTCGCCAGGGACGTAGGCTGCAGTGCAGGTGCAGTGGGCTGCTGTAAGTTACCATGAGTGGCCGGCAGCCGGCATGAATAGCCTTGAGCCGCTGAGAGCGGCTGTCCACTGGCCAGCGACAGATCTGCCTCAGTTGGGAAGAGCGCAATGATCACAATACCAACATGAGCCAGTGAAACGATGCCCTGCACAATTAGACTGCAGAACAAAAAGGTAGCAACTTGTCGGTCCTCTTCCCCATTCCCCAATGCTGTTCCCCTCCCCCAGATCCCCAATAAAATCTTTTTAAAAAAGACTACTGCAGATATCTGTAGTTAAGGGTAAATAGATACACGGTTTAAATTGGTCAAACAGGAAGGTTCCAAAGGCGCTTTGAGAACCGAGGTCCACTGACCTCCAGTGACTCTCTAGCAGCAAGAAGAACGCGTCATCAGCCCTCTGCACCGCGTCCCCCCACCTCCATAGAAAATGGTAGCGACCAAGAACCTTTACGTCACTGCCTCGCGCAAACCTGCAGCGCAGTGCATTTTGGGGGTTGTCGTTCCTTGCTCCAGTGGGCCAGGCCTAGGCGGGAAACCCCGCCCCGAGTGTGCTGTCCCTGCAGCCCCGGGCCGCTCTCCCTGAGGCGTCGCACTCACCCTTCCTTCTGCGCTCGCGGACTTCTACTGACAAGCCGCTTTGCTCGGCAGCGAGGGAGTAATGGCAGCTGCGCAGACCCTGAACGCCTGCGCAAACAGGTCACGAGCGCGTGCACGAAGATGACGCGCGCTGGACGGGCGGGGCCCTCACGTCCAGTGTGCGGCGCTCGGGGGTCCAAACGGGGGTGACGTTTCGACGCCCGGGCACAGGGCACGGAGGCCCTTTATAATCGGACAAACGACCCCTTGCTCCGAGCTACCGGCGTCGCTCCGCGTGTCGCTCCCATTCCGGGTACGCGAGGTCCCCGCTCGAAGCCCTGGAACGGCCGAGCCTCAGGCCACCTTCCCCGGCGGCCGCGAGGGGGCGCAGCGACCCGTCCCACAGACCTTTGAGTAGAGGCCGGGAGACCGCATCGTCACCAGTGGGCGGGATTCGGACCCCGCTGCCCCTGCCAACTTTGTGAGGCTCGCGGGGCTTGAACGTGCATAGCCGACTTCTCAAACCAGCCAATATGCGTGGGAATCATTGAAGCGTCTGATAAAATGCAGATTCCTTGAAAATTATGACTTGGGGGGAAATATTTATATATTTAGGTAGTTTTGGGAGCAGATTCTGGGTTGTGGGTACCTGCAGTGGATTAAGACTAGGGCTCGGTTTGGAGTAAAACGATTCAAACTCTGGTCCCAACCCTGTCACCAGTTCTGTATCCCTGGCATGTCAGTCACTTCATTGGGCCCTGGTGAAGCCCATGGGGTTTAGTAGGCTGGCCACTGTTTCCTTTCACTCTCCTACCTCTAACAAGCTCCCTTCGTGTCCCCTCTTTGAAGGAGGCCATCAGAATCAGAGGCATAGTAAAGAGGCTTATACCTTAAACCTGAAAGGGTCTCTGCCAGATGCTAGCTTCCAGAGCCCTGCAGCAGGGTAAAAGCCCCAACTGGAAGCTTGCCCCAGAGGTATTGTGTCCCTTGCCCTACCCTCAACCCCCACCCCCAAGGTCTGCCTGGGTCTCAGTGCCTGCCCTGGGTACCCCTCTCCCCGCCCCCCACACACACACTCCTTTACCTCTTGACATTGAACTGCTGGAGCCTTTCCAGATGTGTCCCGGTGTTCTGTGCCTCACAGCTCCCACACTGTGTATTCCCTTAGCCTGGAAGTGCCTTTCCTCCCCTTTTTTGTTCTCCAAAACGTGCTCAGACCAAAATTTAGGGGAAGCCTTCTTGCCCAAACTGCCCATTAGCATTCAGTTGTCCCCTCTGCACCCATGATGAGGGTCTGCTATAGTAGTGTCTCCTATGAGATCCAACCTGGGTATGGCGCCTAGGGTCACTCTCCAGGACTATGCACAGGGCAGGCCTGGAGCCAATTCGAACACATTCCTTGGTGACGAAAGAAATGAAGGAGAAGGGCACGGCAGCCTAGGCATGGACCGTGGAGCCAAGGCCCTCCAAGGGCTTGTACTCTGGGCCCCTATGGCTATAGGACCTGGGAAATGGGGTACTGAAGAGAGGCTAGAGGAGGTGGCCTGGGGCTGGCCAGGGCATGTGGGCGTTTTGACCGCAGAGTCAACACATAAGTATATTTGGAGGCAGAAGGGCAGGCCCGTAGGGTGTGGAGCCTCAGCCTCAAGGCTGGGGGTGATGTTGGCCAATTCCTGGTCCCCGGTTCCTATCACTCTCAGCCAGGACTCGTTTCTGCCAGCTGATTACAGCAGAGAGCTGGCAGAGGGCTCCAGTCGCTGGGGGCCACCTGGCATCTGGAACACAGTTTTCCAGCCTCTGCCCACTCTTCAGGCAGTGAGTCCAGTCCAAGCCTCAGGCCACTTGGGGACCAGCCTGTTAGGTGCACGGAGACAACAGTGAGAAGCTGGCCTGAGCCACTCACTACCCTAGAGCTAGTGGGGGACCCAGATGGAGGCGGTGTCCAGATAAGTGGGGCGGACTCAGGTGCCATTTCTGACATTTTACAGCCTTCTGCCAGCATGTGCTCCTAAGATCAAAAGCTATGCGCTGAGGACAGTGAGGCAGGAAAGAGCCTGAGTCCCCGAGATGCTGCAGAGCCTTCTTGCTAAGTGAGGAGCATGTACTTTAATTTTGTTAAACTGCTGTGTAGGATTTCTGTTACATGCAGCTTAATTCCTTCCTAAGTGAGGCAGCGTGTGAAGTGGGCAGTGTGGAGTCTGGCACATAGTAGGCACTCAGTAAGTCAATAAATGTTGACAACTGTTAATCTAGAGGCAGAATAAGAAAGCAGGGTCCTCTGGGGCTTTCTGGTCTGGTGGCAGCTTGGAGGCAG